TATTGACTGTAGTTTGAGGCGTGTTTTCATGAATCTGGGCTCACAAAGAGTTTACAATAACTTGGAATGCGTTCTTGTAATAAGCATTAAATAACACTGAAATGGGACATTTTCAATGCCTCACTGCTCCTTAACAAGCATGCACACTCCCTTTTTTATTTTATAATTAAAGTTCTCATGTGATAAATATTTGTTGGACAAAGTTTGAACAAAAATCTATGTGCAGTTTTATTTCAGGGGAATTACCTTAAAGTGTTACTCTGTTGTTACTTGCCTTATTTCATGGATAGAAATGATACTGATACCAGAGGAATAGAAAACCAGTCATCAGGGCTGAAAATTAACGCCAGCGCTTTGTGGCCAGCCGGGCCAGTTTCCTTGCTTTCTTAGTCGCCCAGGTCAAAATTAAGTGGCCCTGGATTTCTACTGTATTTACAGGAATGTATGTTTAACAGATTTTAATGGTAAAAGAACTCAAAAAATTAACGTGCGCAGAAATTGATTAATCAGTGAAATGTCTACAGCTGCCACTTCCTTGCAAATAGACAAAACATTGCATCTTCTTTGAAAACCAGCCACGGTCTCCCTTTCATTCAACTGTTTTAAAATGTTCGTGATCTTTTGTGTGTTTCGTAATTCCTGTTGGATTGCTGCCCATTTTCATTATTCCTAATTTTTTGTTGTTGGAGGTGGCTCACAGCCAGAGAGAAATCGCCACATTTTGTCATCCTTTGCCAGCCGATTTAGTATTCCAAACCTGTTGTGCACGTGGAAGCAACTATGTCAAAAAAAGACAGCAAAGTACTCTGGGAAAGACTGGAGTCATGTGATAACAGTAAAATCAAAATGGCATCTCATGCATCAGTTCTAGAACTCGGAGAAATTAGAGTCAGGGAAAAGAAAAGAAATGTAGTCCAACTAAACTACTTTCAAGTTCGTACTTGCAATCGCAATAAATCAGGCTGAATTTATATTTTGTCTTGTAGTTGCCCATCGGGTGGTTCAACCCCAATGGCGACTGCCAAGTTTCATCCCTGAGTCAGGGCAAATCAGTTCTGGGCAAGGATCATAATCTCTCGGTTCCAGGTGATTCGTTCACTTGTTTCCATTAATGAAAGTATGCTAGAAGTGTGGCACTCATACTATACCTCATGCTTTAAATAAAATGCAAAGTAAACAGAATACAACTGTTACACTTCCCTTATCATTACGAATTAATTCAGTCTGGCGTGATGCCCTGATCTGACCCATGTAGATATATCCACAGTGAGATATTGATCCTAATTAATTTTTGTGATTTGTACCTGTTTGTTTATTCACAGAAAATACAAATTAGTTGTTAGTTTTTAATTCACTCATTGTGATCTTTAGATTTGTCTGCATAACTAAAACTCATCACTTCAATGTTTTAGCCTGTCATTTGTTGCCAAAATTGATTAAATCACAAACAAATTTTGTGAACCGGTGCACTGTGGGCTTGGACACAAAATAAAATGTTAAAAGCAGCCTGTCACAAATGACTGAGTCTCCAAGGTTTTCATGGTCTTCATGCCAGTCCCTGTTAAAAAAAGAAACAAAAAATCAAGTGTCTTGAATCTGCACAGTGTAGTTGCCAAAGTCAGTAGCACAAACTGCCATCAATTCAACGTTTTTGCCTGTTTTTCATGAACAAAATTGATTGTAACCCGCAAGTTTCCAGAACCGTCTTTCACAGGAATGTTACATTAGGAATGCAAAGAATGGTTACACAGGAATTTAGCTATGGCCCACATATACCTCGTGTCCACATGACTTTGGTCACATGGACACAAAGGAAAAACATTCCTGCACAGCAAGAACAGGTCTAAAAGACTAACATGTAAAGCAAGCTTCAAAAGATAAAAAAAAAAAAACAAGCTTATTGCACAAGTTATTCCCTAAACATCATAGAGTAACCTGCAATCAGGTGTTCTTCTTTTCCACAGCAGTGGGAAAGAGGAAAAGTAAGGAATGCCTGATACAGTTGTCTGACAAGTCATGTGCCACCCCCAAATTGAATTCTGTTTATGGCACTATCACCAATATCATCTATAAGGTAAACAATCAGAATTGACCAAAATTGTATTTCCTATGGTGCAATTACTTTGATAGGAATGCACATTTTCTTGTAAGTCCTTTTTCTGGGATTTTAAAGTGGGGTTGATGTCGCTATGCGAGACTGGATTTTTTGTTTTCCACTTGTTGGTGTTGACTTCTTGCACTTGTACTGTATATCTTGGATGAGGTAAAACTGGCCTGTCTGAAAAAGAAATGTGCAGATATGAGTAATTGGCCTACACGATTCCAATGTTGCTGACATTTCTGCATTTTTTGGCTGTTCTCTGTTCAGTCTCTGACATACTTTGTTTCACTCTGCTTCAAAAGAGCATTTGTTTGCTGTATCTTTCGGGGGAGTTGCGTAGAGCCATCTTTAAAGTTGTCAAAGAGCTACAACCCCTTTTCTTGTTAGCTGTTGCATCGTATAATTATTTGCTGAAGCATATGTGATGCTGTTTGTGCTCATTTCTATTGCAAGATTTGTTCTAAGCTCTTGCTATGGAAGTACAACCCAGAAAATACTCCTTGAAGATAAAATATCCTTACTCAGAAAAAAAGCTTTCCAACCCACCTGCCGCTAAAAGATAATTATAGTCTTTTTCTAAGGGAACAAGTCATAACTGCTGCTCATGCTTAAAATATGGAACTCAAAGGCAAATTTTTTGATGTACAAAGTCATGACTCATTCACCTGCTACATTCCGGAGTTCGTTTCATCGTACTTCTGTTCAAGATTATGTTTTTAATTTTTTTTTGTGACATTAGGCCACTAATGTATTACAAATTCATGCCTAACTTACAATATGTTATATATGTACAATAAACTACTGCCATTCAATGTACCTGCACTTGTTAAGAATTTGACATATTTGCATTAGTATTTGGAGAGTAAATCAAATGTATTTAGGATGAACTTTTGCAGAGTTTTCAACACCCCTTGAGGTAGGTGTTATGGATAGTCGAATAATTTTACTGCCAAAACAAATGGGACAGAGTTTAGTGGGGTTTTTTCCTCTCTTTTTTACACTTATGTCCACAAAAACACAAAGAAAATGTGGTGGATCAGACAACTTTAGAAAATATACAGTTACCTCAATATATGTTTCTCTTGGCAAGTTAGTTGGCAAGGGGAGGGATGGTTTTTAATCATTGACAGTCTAGAGGGTTCAGTAGAGGAGGCATAGTGACATGGGGGCTTAGAAGGGGATTTATTTATCACTTTTATGGTGAGACAAGTTCCTGTTGGGAGACATTCAATATGGTGATCATTAGGGACAGACCATTAATTGGGGGGGGGGGNAATTGTCTGGGGCATGATATTTTTTTCTCACCTTTAGGTTGTGCATTTTTTTTTTTTGGTGGGCAATAGGGTATGCTCCCCTTGCACATTTTTTT